ATATGTATTCATAATGTTCCTGTCTGACGAAGGCCCCCTCATTCCTTCCTCGTTTACCAACATTGACCTAGACTCGGCGGTTATTTTTCAAAAGACAGTTATTGTTTAACCCTAACCGGACGACCTTATGTTTTAATACCACTCCCTCTCCAGTTTTTCTGCATGGTTCGTGTCACTCTTTTTTTTTTTTAGTTTATTTGCGTATTGCTGTTGGTTGTGGGTTTTTTTCTTCACATTATCGAAATATACTTGTATCCCTCGATTTCCCTTTGTAAATAGCGCTTTCTTTTTATCTTCTTTTAAACAAAGCATTGTAAGTGTACATATCCTTTTTCTGTGCTTAATGTATAATCATTGTATTCAATCAATTTTATTTTTCAGATCTAGACTAAATTGAAGTGTTTGAAACTGTTCATAAATACAGTGGAAAGAAACAAATATTAGTCGTATTTTAAAGTTATATACATGTAGTAAAAGTACCTTAATTAATAACTCCATCTTTTTCAATCAATTCAATACAGGAAAGGATTTTATGTTCAAATTGATATAATACAATTACAAACTGTCTAAAATATTTTTTAACACACATATGATTAAAACTAGCACCTACCTATTATATAGTTTCAAGAGACTACATCGGTTTCTAAAAAAAAGATCACTGCATATATGAACCAAGTGCGAATCGGACACACGACTAATTTCTTTAACCTGCGGCAACGTATTTCTTTTTTAGCTTACCTGGATCCGAAGGGCCAAGTTTGTTTTTCTCATCACTTGGCGTCCGTTGTCCGTTGTCGTCGTCGTTAATTTTTTAACATTTTGAACTTCTTCTAGAGAATCTTAATGGAATAAAACCAAACATGGCATGAATGTTCCTTATGAGGTTCTGAACAAGTGTTATTGCTTTGTAGCTGATACATCATCAAAGATGGCCACCAGCGGGGGACTACGTTTAACATAGGACCCTACGGATAATACATACAAATGTCTTCTTTTAGAAAACCACTAAATGGAATGAAATAAAACATGGCATGAATGTTTCTTATGAGGTGTTGACCAAGTGCTGTTACTTTGAAGCCGATCCATCATCTAAGATGGCCGCCAGAGAGGGACTAAGTTTAACATAGAACCCTATGGGAAATACATACAACTGTCTTCTTTTAGAAAACCACTAAATGGAATGAAATAAAACTTGACATGAATGTTCCTTATGAGGTGCTGAGCAAGTGTTGTAATTTTTTAGGCGATCAATCATCCAAGATGGCCGCCAGCCGGGACTTAGTTTAACATAGAACCCTATTGGAAATACAAACAAATGTTTTCTTTAAGAAATCCACTGAATGGAATGAAACCAAGCATGGCATGAATGAAGTGTTGTTACTTTGTATCCAATTAATCATCCAAGATGGCTGCCAGCGGGGAACTTACTTTAACAAAGGACCCTATGGACAATACATAAAAATGTCTTCTTTTAGAGAACCACTGAATGGAATTAAACCAAACATGTCATGAATGTTCCTTGTGAGATGCTGACCAAGTTTTGTTACTTTGTAGCCAATCAATCATCCAAGATGGCTGCCAGCAGGGAACTTAGTTAAACAAAGGACCCTATGTGAAATGCATACAAAAGTCTTCTTTTGAAGAACCACTAAATGGAATGAAACAAAACATGGCATGAATGTTCCTAATGAGGTTCTGACCAAGTGTTGTTACTTTGTAGAAAATCCATCAACCAAGATGGCTGCCAACGGGGGACTGAGTTTAACAAAAGTCCTTATGGGAAATATATATACACATGTCTTCTTCTAGAAAACCGCTTAATGGATTATAACTAAACATGGTATGAATGTTTCTTTTGAAGTGCTGACCAAGTGTTGTTACTTTGTAGCTGATTTGTCATCCAAGATGGCTGCCAGCAGGGGGAGTTTGTTTAACATAGGACCCTATGAGAAATACATACAAATGTTTTCTTCTAGAGAATCACTGAATAGAAAGAAACCTAACATGGCATGAATGTTCCTAATGAGGTTCTGACCAAGTGTTGTTACTTTGTAGTCGAACCATCATACAAGATGGCCGCCAGCAGGGGACTTAGTTTAACATAAGACCCTATGGGAAATACATACAAATGCTTCTTCTAGAGGAGCACTGAATGGAATGAAACCAAACATGGCATAAATGTTCCTTATTAGGTGATGATGAAGACCTTAATACATGTATCTTTATAGATTGAGATATACTGTAAACTGCAAAAATATCAAGAAAAGAAGATCCACACCTACATGTAAGTCAACATGAGCAAAATTGTCAATTGACATCTTGTTGGAGTTATTATCCTTAGAAAGTAATTTTCTACAATTTCAATGAATTTATTGGTTATTTCTGTAAACTTTACAAAAGTCTTCTGCTTTTGATTAAATTACGAGGCCAATATTAAACCACATTTAGCCTCAATTATTATTAGGGTATCTGTTATGATTTTGATCTATTTTTACATGAATTCCAAAACCAAAGTAGAATCAGGTGAGCGACACAGGCTCTTGAGAGCCTCTAGTTCAGTTTCTTATATTTATCGTCGTTGATAAGCAAAGTTTTGCATTATATTCCTATACAGGCAATACTATCAGATGTTTTAAACAAAAAACTTGCAAATCAACGCCGACACCTGAAAATTATAAAAACTGGTGTAGCCCCACTAGTTCATGAAGCAAGTTCTCGATTTGCACTTTATACACAGGGTGAGGTTTAGGTTGTTAATCAAATTCGTTACTAACTATTTTGTCCAAGGAACAGTCTGTGTCTGGCACATCAAAACCTGGTAAAACATCTACTTTAGATGAACGATTTTCTACTAATTAGGATAATACAATTATATTTTACTTGTGGATTTCGTATTGCAGCATGATCTATCAAGCGTTATGAGCATTATTATATTTTTTTTCATTTTAACTGTAGCTGAAGGTGATGTTAGGAAGAATAAGAGCAACACCAGAGGTAGATTTTTATACCAAAAGACGTCACAACAATGTTTTTAGATAGTATAAATTGCGCCAATACATGGAATTAAATTGCACCACATTTACTTGTATATTTTTCTATATTATATAAAGATTTAACCTATCGACTTTAGAATGAATATAACACTCATCAGAATTTAGAAATCTCACCAATAAATAAATTATTCAGTAATAGAACAGTTTTTCCCATGTAAAGATTTCTGATATATTGTACAAGATATTAAAGTCTGATATTGAGAAACCTATCATCGTTGTAGAAGATCTCAAATTCCGTCAGGCATTTGTAACAAAAAATGCAGAAATTATATGGAGATGTAAAATGAAGTCGTGTTCTAATAGGCTATTTACATATGAATATTCTACAGTTATTTTAAGTGGGAAATTATACCATATACATGCAAATAATAACCAGAAACTAAAACGACAGAGTTTGAGAACAACATGCATGGAAGACCTGTTGGTGGCCTTCTGCTGTTGTCTGTTCTGTGGTCGGGTTGTTGTCTCTTTGACACATTCCCCATTTCCATTCTCAATTTTATGCAGATGTAAAGCAAATGACATATTATCTGAGCGACCTTCTAAAATTAATTAGTAGATATATACAAGTAAAAATAAATAGATTGATAAATTGGCGCAATTGTATGATTGTTTTATTGGCGCCAACGTACTAATTTTGCTCATTATTGAACACTGCACTTGTCTCTATTGACTGTTCCAGTTGTCACCATAAACGGTCTTAGTGTCTTCAGAGTTATCTTGTACTCGGGTGGGACTGGTTTTCGTTTTAAAGATTGGAAGGAGTACAAGCAGGGCATGTGCAATTTTTTTTCCTCCGGAATATGTTCAAAACTTGACAGAATAGGATGTATGTGTGCGTTATTTCATGCGCATGAGCAAAAAGTTCCTATGTAATTTGAAAATAATTGAGAATCAACTAATTTATTTTGTATGAAAACTGTCTTTTGATTGTGACGTAGTAGTACATATTAGATATTATAGCTATTTACAAGATATGTAATTGAATATCAACATAAATCACGTAATAGGAACATGTCAAATTTATTTTTATCATTGACCGGAAATTGAAAAGTTACGTGTCGCTTACAAACTCGTGCGTACGTGCGCAAGTCCCGTTTTAATGAACATAACGAAGGATAACAATTATGAAAGAAATGATTGCTGTGATGAAGTAAAATGCAGTTACTTAAAAAAGACCGTTTACGTTCCTGACTTTTTACGACGTATTGCAAGCAAGTATGTATTACAAAGACCGAAAACAAACTTTTATACATACATGTTGTAACTGTAAGTCGGTAATTTTGGCGGAAAATTAGTAATCGTTGGTTTTACATTTCAATCCGGTTAACAATGCGATTAAGAAAAGTTCAATCGAGTTCAAACTATTTTCAATATTAATTCAGACAAAAAATATTTACTTTGACCCTATCATGAAACCGGTAAAAAATGTAAAAGCAGTGGAAAAAGAACTTGTCCACTAACAGCCTTTGAAGAAATGTTACATTAACAAAACAAAAAGAAAACAGTCCTTTTTCACCAACTACAGGAACTACTATGAAGATCTTTTGAGGTATATATTTAATTCTAAAATTAACTGAATTCAATATTCATCAAATAGTTTTACTATTTTATTTTTATCATGGGAAAAAAATGCATTGTGCAATTATTTGACTAAATTAGAACTGTTGAGAAATAAGCAAATTTTACAAATTGTACATGTACAGATAATACTTACTCTCAGGATCTAGTGGTGTTGACATTTTAAGATGTATGCCAGAACCAACGTAAAAATTTGGAATAAAAATAGTTTCCCAGAGAGAAGTTAGTTTATATATAAGTAACAGGAAGAGACCGCCTACTAGTAGCTTTTCTTCATTCCACCAATAGAAACAAGTTTGTCGCAAAATAACCAACCAATGAAAAATTAGAAATCTTAAATCTAAGCTAAGATTTTAAAATACTTACAGTATTATGTTTTGTCGTCTGGCATGCGCATGAAGTTATGGGGATTTTAAACCATGGCTGTCAAGTCTCGTTCAAGAGATTTTGAAGAAATTATCAAATTTGACTTTAGTATTCTCTTAGTGATGCTATGGACAAGTTGACTCGTATTTATGAAATAAATCGAAATTTAAAAGAATAAACGAACACATGGAGATAGGAATACCGATGTGTAAAGACTTTAACGGTAAGTTACTTTCGGTTAATTCGAAGAAATTGACGAATAAGAAACAATAATGTTTAATACAAAATGAAGTCAAAGAAAGAAGAAAGAAGAAGGGACTATAATGGTTGTCCCTGTTATAAGTTCCATCCTTCTAACAAAATGCTAGTTACCTAATACGATATAAACGGCGTCAGTAAATTTCTTATTGGTTTTCCTTACTGTCTCTCTATTGAAGGCGAAGTCGAGTGCAAAAGCAGGTTAGAAAAGGCGAACAAACTTGCTACTCTTCTTCATAAGAAATTAGTGAGTGTCTATTAAAGTGATGAACACTGGTTTCAAAGAAATCCGCATAAATAAAAATAGTCACACATATGATTATGCACATGATCAATGAAAAGACATTTTTACTTGTTTTTTGGCAAATATTTGATTCTATAAATTTCCGTGCATATAATTGCTGTTATCGCTATTTTGTGTTTTTTTCCTTTGATCTTTTTTGTGATAATTTTTCATATCATGCTACTCCCTTCAGATAGAAAATTATCGTCAGAAACTAAGGACGCACGTGACGTTGTCAATGTAAACATCAACGACGCAAAAAAAGCGATAAACATATTATCAATGGAAACTCTAGTCTAAAAATGTATAGAATCAAAGACAAAGTCGACGAATGAAAAAGACTTTATTTAAAAATCTTATAAATTAGTTCGCATGATCTATAACATTAAGTGTTGAAAGGTCGTTAATCTAGAATTATTAGAATTATTAACTAAGGTCCATCAGCCAATAGTACACGAACATTCAGGACGGTAATATGTTATACGTTATTTAGATCAATTAAAAAAAAAACAAATCCGTAACTTCACGTTATAAATCTAATGATTCACCAGGAAGCAAAAAAGATACGTAACCATAGTTACTCTGGTAAATTATTGTAAATTATTGCAATAATTGATAGAGAGGACGTATGATTGCCAATAACAGAGACCAAATAATGTCGATATTAGCAACTATAGGTCGTCGAACAGCCTTCAACAATGAGCAAAACGGGCCGCGAATGGCAAATTGTGAAAACTTTATCAATTTATTGCGTCCGAAGCACTTTTCCGGATTTACTTTCGTCAGGTGGGAAAAACAAAAGTAGATTTCACCTGTTGGTATTCTAGCTTATTGCATTTTTGTTGTTATTTAACGAATATAATTTTTAGCTATCCCAGATCAGAATTTTCATTTTCAATTCCCGTCTGACACCCTTATCCTCCATCCTATCCACACCGACCCCGTGCGAAGTATTAAATAGTCGTCCGTTTAAGATAAACAATAAACGGGGAGGGGGAGCATATACCACAGACAGCAACCGACGACAATTTGCTCTAATTTTGGGATCAAAAATTAATACGGAGAGAGCAGGAATTAATCCAGTTTTGTTAAAATCTAAGCACTGTGTGTTTTGTCGGCCATTTCATAAATTTATTAACCAGGACTTAAAGAAGTTTATCAAAACTTGTATTGTTTTTCTCAATAACTATTTATTTTACTTCAACTTGTCCAAACTTTTAAAGAAAACAATCGCCGTGAAAAAAAAAGAGGCCGTGAAATGTCTATCATCTCTTCATGATAAGTATGTTGTTGTTCCTGCGGACAAAGCTTCAAATAATATTGTCTTTATATGTAAATCGTATTACTACGAATGTCTTGTAAAAGAATTAGGAATAAATGAGCACTCAGGTAATCCCACATACAAAGACATATCATTTGACAAGGATGAGATTTTAGCAAATCATAAGTCCTTCATGGCTTCAATGAACATTACATTGAACACCAAATCGGAGGACTTACCTTTTTTGTATTGGATACCTAAGCTCCACAAAATTCCTTACAAACAACGGTACATTGCCGGCTCATCTGCATGTTCCACTAAAGAATTGTCCATTAGATTGACTAAAATTCTGTCCGCAGTGAAAGAGGGTCTTCAGAAATACTGTGAAACTGTTTACTCGCGTAGTGGTATTAACCATATGTGGATTCTTAAAAATTCTAAAGAACTTCTAGATAATTTTAAATCTCGGTCTTTTTCTGAGATTAGTTCTATCAAAACTTTTGATTTTTCAACCCTGTATACCACCATTCCCCATGTGAAATTGAAAAATCGCTTGAAAGAAATAATCCACAATGCCTTTCATCATAAAAATGGTAGCATACGCTATAAATTTATTACTTTGGGATATCATAAGGCATATTTTGTTAATAGTGAACAAAAGGGTAAAACATGCTACACAGAAGAACAAGTGATCAGTATGCTGGAGTTTCTTATCGACAACATATTTGTTGAATTTGGAGGTAGACTTTTTCAACAAATTGTCGGCATTCCTATGGGAACGAACTGTGCGCCTCTCCTTGCCGACCTCTTCTTATTTTCATATGAATCGGAGTTCCTTCAGACACTTGTCAAAAACAAGAAGATCAAAGAAGCCAGATTATTTAATTTCACTTTTAGATATATTGATGATGTTCTTTCCATTAACAATCCGAACTTTTCTGATTGGGTTCCATTAATATATCCCCCAGAACTAGAAATTAAAGAAACAACAGACACGGCTTCCTCCGCCTCATTTTTAGACTTATATCTCGAATTTGACATACACAGTCATCTCAGTACCAGAATCTATGACAAACGAGACGATTTTAATTTTAAAATTATAAATTTCCCCCACCTTAGTAGCAATATACCAACTTCACCTGCATATGGGATATACATTTCCCAACTTATTCGATATTCAAGAGCTTGCAGCTCTTACTCAGACTTTGTAAAACGTCACCAGTGTCTGAGCAGAAAGTTGATGAACCAGGGGTATGTCAAAGAACGTCTCGTCCTTTTTCTAAAAAAGTTCATCGGAAGGTACCAAGACCTTGTTGATAAATATTCCGTATCAACTTCACAAACAATACATGATGGTCTTGAAGTATAGATTCTGCATACTGACGTTGTTTATCATCTTAACAACGTGTAATATTGTTCTTTCATTTGTCTTTGTTCTATTATTAATATTACTTTTACTGTTTGGTTTGTTTTCTGTGATATCCATTTGACGTGGCTAGGTACTTATACATCCCGTCAATGTGTTTGTATTATCTTTAATTTTTACTGGTGTGTTTTGTATATGCGACTTTTTGTGTTTCTGTGGTTCTTATAACGTGACTCTGTACTTTAAAATATCCCGTCATTATGTTATTGTTCTATTATATGTCATTATGTTATTGTTCTATTATAAATTTGAAAATACTTTGAACGACAAACGACAAATTTATTTTACTCGCGTAGTGGTATTTACCATATGTGGATTCTTAAGGGTTCTGAAGAACTTCTGGACAATTATAAATCTCGGTCTATTTCTGAAATTAATTCTAACATAACTTTTGATTTTTTAACCCTGTATACCAACATTCCCCATGTGAAATTATAAAATTGTTTTGAATAGACATTGAATGACAAACTTTTTTCTTATGTGACGTTTACATTTTCTGACGTCAGACACGCGAAGCAATGAATGTGGGTCTTAATTTGATAGATGCTTTTGTGCTTTTTTTGTAAATAATTGTTTGTTTTGATATTGTAACACAGTGATGACTGCTGTACCCATATTTTGACTATTTTATTTATAATGTCTGTTTTGTTCACGCATCGTTGTAAATATAACGAAATTTGATAAGACTGTCGTACAAGTGAGAGGTTTAGCGCTATAAAACCAGGTTCAATCCACCATTTTCTACATTTGAAAATGCCTGTACCAAGTCAGGAATATGACAGTTGTTGTCCATTTGTTTGATGTGTTTTGTCATTTGATTTTGCCATGTGATTAGGGACTTTCCGATTGAATTTTCCTCGGAGTTCAGTATTTTTGTGATTTTACTTTTCGCATTAGTTCTCGACAAGAGAAATTTTATTATCGGTACCACTTCACAATGTTATTAATCATTTGTGTAATCCTCTAAAACCAAACTTGTAAAATTTAAATGAGTTCAAAAAGTTATAGTACTAAATTATTTTTGAAATCGATGCATTTTCAATACATTGTTTATGGAGGAAAGTCGAATTGCTATATTGTTTTTTTGGGAAATTCCTCCTTTAACAATCACACAAGATACTCTTTTGTTTACATTTTTCATAAATGTCAAGTCCAAAGAAAATATCGGTTTTCCAAATCAGCTAATAATATAATAAAATAGAGAATTGAAACGGGAGTATGCCAAAGAGACAACAATCCGACCAAAGATCAGAAAACAGACATAACAAAGCCTAGAGGTTCTTGACTTGGGACAGGCGCCAAAATGCGGAGGGGTTAAACATGTTCTGTGATATCTCATACTTCTAGCCAATGTGGAAAAAACAAACACACAGCAGTACGATCAGATCAAAAGAAGTCCGAGGCCGATGTTAGAATAGGCAACAGAAGAAACTAAGCATAATCATAATGATCAAAACAAAATGATAAAGGACTTCTAGCAGTTACTAAAATGCCAGCTGCAGACCTCAATTTAACAGATCCAATAGTATGTCTCCATCGTATAGAAAATTAACCAAACCCCCCCCCCCGGTTAGTAATTTAGTATCATAAGTTACATGTATAAGAGAAGAATATAACCCGTATCATGCCAATAATTGCGTTTAGAATAAATGTGTTTATTTCGTATGCAAAGACCCTATATATGAGTGAATAAATATTAATTCCAAATATACCGTCTTAAGGTTGTTCCAAACATCTTGACTAAAATTAATTTGGCTATTGTAATTTTCATAAAATTTTGACAAAATATTTACTTTGACCCTTTGACAAAAATATAAAAATTTAAAAAAACTTGAACCACACACTTTATCGGAAAAATTTCATTGGATATATAGCAGTTTGACAAACACTAATTTTGATCATTGGGAAGCTTAATATTTCCTTAACAATAAAACGTGATCAAAACGTTCAGCTGATTTTTAAAGAATTATCTCCCTGCAGCGTTATGTACCACCTTAAATGACTTGACAACATTATCATAACTTTGTGGATAAGTCTTTTAAAAGGTCTGGGTAGCTTTTCAGGTTAATGACGACATGTTTGTGCTTTGATTAAATATAATCATAACATATGGGATGTGATATACCTGCACGCATAAGATGTCTGTTCGTTGACTTATACTTACGAATTATGTCCTTGTACCCATGATTAAATTAGATAAAACGTTTGACAAGTTTGTGATTTAGAAAACCCTGGTGCAATATTTTTTTAGTTATACAGAATTATTTTTCTCAATAAGGTTCATCATAACCTTTTGGCTAATATGGCCTTAATTACACCACAAATTTTAATCTGAGTACAGATAAACCTGTGCACCTGGAAAAGTTTTAAGGCATGGCAGGAACTAAATAAGTAAATTTTAAATGCATTTTATGTTTCAGAAAATTAAAAACTTTTCTGGATTTTGCTATTAATTTTTTTTTTTTTATTCTTGCAGAAGGTGCCGGGGTAAAATTAGAGGTAGTTTGAATTACTTAACAAAGTAAAATGCCAAAGTGTAGTTTTAGAGAAAGGATATTTTGATGGGCTGTTTTAATTAAAAATGCAAAACGGCATATTAGCAAAGCAACATTTTCCTACTCTTACTTAAGTGGTCAAATCAGGGGGTTAAACAAAAAATACAAGACACATATTTTTTTTTTATTAAACTCAAATTTAAAAGGAGAAATACTGTCAATAATCAATGTCCCTTCTCAATCTCGTCTGTAAAATGCTCATCAAAAGCAACCCTATTTATAATTTGGTATGGCAGATGCACGTTTTGCATACATGAGACTCATTAGTGTTCACACCAAAACATGAAATGCCATTTCAAACTCAAAGTTGATGAGCACCTAAAACTAGGTACATGCCAAATGCAATGGCGATAAACAAATGTTAGTGTTTCTAATAATTCAACATTTTATAAACAATAAATTTGCAGAAATTAACATATCAATAACACTCCATGTCGACAGAACTATGCTGACTCCTGGACTGGTGAAACAACAGGTTATTTATTTGTAGTTAAGACTATTGGTATTGTTAACAATGTTAGGCCCATATGGATCATTCGAAACGAAATGTCCACAACTTTAAAAATTCGACATCTTAGAGGTGACATTTGAACTTCAATATCTGAGTTAAAAATTCGAGATTCAAAGTTCATAATCTGAATCAGACATTCCGATGAAATCTTTTCGTAATTGAATTGGATGTATTTTAGAAATAGGGAAACAAGAGGGTGACAGTGCCAAAGAGACAATCGAGATTGAACAGCTAACTTATTATGGAGCATATCTGATTACAAAAATTTCATTTCTTGATTTCGAATCACTTTTCTGAATTAGACTATTCCGGAAAACTTATATCCAATATTTATCAGAGGTACCAGGCTTATAATTTGATACGCCAGACGCGCGTTTCGTCTACAAAAGACTCATCAGTGACGCTCAGATCAAAATAGTTATAAAGGCAAACAAGTATAAAGTTGAAGAGCATTGAGGACCCAAAATTCCAAAATGTTATGCCATAGATTCCTATAGTGCATATACCTCAACCCCATAAGTCACCGAACTCAGTTAGTTTTCATACTAATTTAACTTGTATTTAACTTATGTATCGGATCAGTAACTTGATATATTGCTTCTGTGAAATTTGTTGTAAACATATTCAAAACTTTAGAACCAACAACAACAAAGGTATTGCACGAAAGCCTCCCATTTTTAAAAACGACAAATTCAGATAAAACTTTTTTTTTAATTATTCTAGTATGTACTGGAGCTAACTGTTCTTCGTCAAATATAATTCATTATAATTCAACTCATTGTTCAGGCCGTTTATCAAGAAATCGTTTAACGACCCTTGTTGTGTTTTGAAAGTCAGACTTTTTTTCTGCATTTATAAACGAAGAACTGCAGTAACTGCGCTTTCTCTTTGCTTTTTGTTTGTAAATTTGAATTCCAGAGTTAACACAATATATGCTTTTCTCATATTTGCAATGGTTGTTAAAGTTGTTTTTGGAATAAAACAAATTGTAAGAATTATCATCTGTATTGTTATTTTGAATTTCAGGACAAAACCATTTGTTCTTTATTACTGTTCTGGTTTATAATAATTTCTTGTTTGATACCATATTTGAAAATACATTCCCCTTCAACTTTCACATAAGCTGTTCCATCAATGTCTTCTACAAATATTTTTCCTTTTGCATCCTTAAACTTATCCTTCTTTTGAACTAAAATTGTTCTTATTGGTGCTCTGTATTCCATCAGATATCTGTTATTTTTTCTTTCATAGAACGTAACTATAACTTCTCCTTTTACTGCAACATTAGTTGTAAAAGTATAAGAGCTTTGCTTTTCTGTTATTTGGAGTTTTGCAGTAAGCATAGATTGCTTTTCGACTAACAACACACCTTCTGCCGACCAAGTCATTGTTCTTTGATCTTCATTTGCCAACGTATTTTCAACTGAGAAACCTTTAGAAAAACCAGCTGTTGTCCCCACTATATCGGCAGGTGCAGACAGTGTCAGGCCAACATTGAAGCCAGTTGTATAACCTTTCGTTATTGAACTCTTGCATGTTCCTGTGGTCTGTTGTTCAGTTTTCAAAGAATGGTGTTGCACTTGGTTGCTATTATTTTTGAATACTGATTCAAATAGAATATTTGATTCATATTGAACTGTTCCGGGATCTGAATATTTAAGTTTCGTTGGAATGAATTTTACACCTGTCCAATCAAAATCTAATCGAACCTTTTTTACTGCCGTTGGAAAATCCTTTTGTCTACTATCGCTATACCTTTTCCAGGCCGATTCTTTAACAACGTTTTGTAGGTCGACTATATTTTTGGATATTCCTCCTGTGGCAGTCTAAATAGTAAAGATATATATGTTACAGTACAAATTTGAATTTAGCATGATGTTTATCCTCCCAGTTCAAGTTGGAATTCCAATTTGTACTAGTAGAATAGAAATTCTGACTAATACTTACTAGAATTATGTACAAATCAAATTTTCAAGTATCTATTGTAGAAATTGGAATATCCAGATTTGTACTACATGTAATAGGAGGATCCTTGATTGTACTCAATTTCTAGTAGGATTCAGGATAATACTAAACACAATAGTAAGTATGATTCTGGATTTGACTTACTTTTTTTGTATTATTTATAAATTTATTGATGCACTTGATAAGTAGAGAAACATATCGATTTTGAGACATAACTGAAAATAGAACATGTTCTTAGTAAAATTTAGTATCGAAAGACATCATTAACATAAATGAATTAATTTGTACATGATAGACAAGATTTTAAATAAGTAACAAAATTTTGGTTTTGGTAGAGAATGTCCGGATAATTATTTAAAAATTTAACATTTAAGTGTTTCATATAGGTATCGGCATCTTTAATTTGATTTAAACTTAACGTACTCCATATGAACTTATGGTATTGTATTTTTTGGTAAACATTTGAAGACTTTTTGAAAAATGCTCTGCTGTGAAATGAATTCATAGGAATGATTTGAGTATATCGGTTCCGTTATAAAGAAAACAATAGTTCTTGTATTGTGTCTTTTTTAGTACCCACCTAGTGCAATCAAAGATCCTACTAGTATAAATAAGGGTTTTCAAATGTTATCCAGGAGATATTTGAATTTTTAAGAAAAGTACTGGATAATAATACGTATTAATCAGAATTTCAATTTCTACTAGTAGATATTGGAATTGCGATTTGTTTTAATATAATTCTTGATCCATTTTGGAATGTTACATATATATGGAAAGTACAATGATTCAAATTTGAAATAAATACAACTTTTATTTAGTAATACAGCCCTGGAGAAAGCCATTAACATGGCATGGGATTAATCTTTTAAATCTCTGTAAAATTTTAGATTTATTTTAGAGTTCATTTATTGAGAATTTACATGCAAAACGTAGTTGTCTGAATTCCGTATTCACAACACTCGTGACAAAAGTTTGAGAAGCAAATGAAATTACAAACTCCAAAGGGCTTCTTTCGCTATCTCTGTCACGAAATTGATAGCATCTAGCAAAAAGCAAAATAAAATTGGATAACAATTATCGTTCAGTGGGCAATGGTTCTTTTGACTTTAGCCATGTTGACCTATTTTATATCTTGTTTTTGTTGATCTTATTTCTCTTCCCACATGTTCAACAAAGTTTCCAAATAAAAACACAAATATGTATAAAAACCATCATGTAAGGCTATTATTCCTATAATGAGTCGACTGACTTATGGCAATTTTTTCTGCTGATATTTATTTGTATGCAGTTCATCACTCTTCACTATAGTTTTGCTCCCAAAAAATGAAATTGGTAAACATCGTATTTAAAGTTAAACAACTGACGAGTACGACCATGTTGTCTTGTTAGCACAGTCTTCCTGATAATCCACCAGCCTTAGTTTCCGCATTCAACACAAATATGAGTAAACGTTTGGTACCATTAAAACGTTTAATCCCGCTGCAAATGTTTGCACCTGTCCTAAGTCAGGAATCTGATGTACAGTAGTTGTCGTCTGTTTATGTAGTGCATACGTGTTTCTCGTTTCTCATTTTTATATAGATTAGGCCGTTGGTTTTCCCGTTTGAATGGTTTTACACTAGTAATTTTTGGGGCCCTTTATAGCTTGCTGTTCGGTGTGAGCCAAGGCTCCGTGTTGAAGGCCGTACCTTGACCTATAATGGTTTACTTTTATAAATTGTTACTTGGATGGAGAGTTGTCTCATTGGCACTCATACCACATCTTCAATATAAAATCATCAATTCAAGACAATAAGTCATTACATGTCGGAAATTTGAGACCCCCAAGCTATTCAAATTCGTACTTTATTTTGTCTTAACAAATTGTTATTCTAGCGTCACTGATGGATTACATGTTTTTATATGAGCGTCACTGATGTGTCTAACGTAGAAGAAACGCGAGCCTAAACTTAAAAAATTAGATATTTACACATTAGTCCAGTAGTTTCAGAGAGAAGTATATTTTTGTAAACGTTAATAGACGACGGACGCAAAATGATTACAACAGATTACTTATACCTTGATATAGAGACTATAATAATTCAAAAAGAATCTCAATTAACTAACAACAATTATTCAATGTCACGTTCTGCTGAAAGAGCCATAATCATATTTGTGTGCGCCTTACTAAAAGTTGTGTCCTACAATTAAAATCTCAGCAAAGATACAAGGATGTCAGACACGGGTTTCGTCTTCATTAGACTCATTATTGGCGCTTAAACAAAACCATTAGACGTCCATATCAAAAACGAAGTTAAATGTCATCAAACACCGAAGGATTCGAAAAGTAATGCCAAATACTTAAATAACCTGGGGGAAAACAATTGATTACGACTGATTTATCGATTGTGTTGATTACCTTTAACGACAGTTTGACTGCATCTTGATTACAATGACGAGTCATGCATCCCTATGAAGGGAATATAACCCTGTCAACGCAGCAGTTTTGGATCATTTGGAGTTCATGTTATTCCCAAAGGTGAATTCCTTCTGGTAATAGGATCAACTAACACCGATCTAAACATCCGCTCTGCAGGATTCTTTATAACCATTGCAATCAACCGGACCAGGATTCTTCTTTATCTATGAATGTACGCATCACTGAGAAAACTTACAACCATACTAATAGCCTGATACTTAGTACGCCTCTCTGAATATATAGAGCTGTTTTTTGTATAAGTGAATAAGGTACTGCAATGCCATATGGTTGTAATGATAACATCTAAGGTGTAGGAAATTTGTCTAGTCCAGCCTGCTGCAATGAAAATGTATTGAGTTTATTCACCAGTAAATAAAGATCCAAACGTAGTCATCGTCAAAAACATTTTCATCGTTCAAACGTTAAAAAGTCTTCCAAATCCAGATCACTCCATGGGAGATTTGATGCCCTTTGTTTACATTATATAACATTCTATTTTCACTGCTTGTAAACGTTTGAAACTGTTTAAGATATTATGCCTTAGACAAAGGATGCATAGATATGTTTTCCCAATATACAAACTAGCAAGTCTAATTTGTGATGTAGCTATTTTCCGTTTATTAAACCAGTACGATCTAAACAATTGCACGTTGAAATTAGGAAGTTCCTTTCAATTCCGTTTTCAAATAAAGATATAGATGCTTTCAACATCAGCAACGTTCTTCATCACAAAGAAGTAATATCTAAAATTCCGCTTTATCTTCAAAATAATTCTGTTCCTATTGTCTCCTATAGTTACACCAAAACCATTGCACCTGAAATATTTGATAATAAACAAGCATTGCCAGATCTTGATTTAGAAGAATATTTTTAAAACCTTCTTACATGTGACTTCCCACTCTCTGTATATTTAGAAGCCCTCTGGCCATGTAATTACTGGTGATCTAAATATAATTCAACATGCAAATCTCCTGAAGATGATATCTCATGGTTCCGAATTTAGAGAGCCACAGCACATCATTTTGAATATATCTTTAACGTAATAACGGATTTCGTTGAGGATTACACCAGAGCATGGGCAAAATGAGAAAAGATTAAACTAGACAATCTGTCAGAATGGGGTAAAACAATTAGTCGTTGATCAAACGAAGAATCCATAAGTTGAAAATCTGTATAAATGTTCGCTCGCTACACTGTCGGCTTATCTGCATGTTCTGCAAATGCAATGTCCGTTTGATTAACAAATATTTTGTCCGCTGTTAAAGAGAGGTTACAGAAATACTGTTACACTGTTTACTCGCATAGTGGCATTAACCATATGTGGATTCTTAAGGCTTCAAAAGAACGTCTGGAAAATATAACATCTCGATCATTTTCCGAAATAAAATATATTGAAACCTTCGATGTTTCCACACTTTACACCAACATATCACGTGAAAAATTAAACACTCGTCTTAACGAAATAATCGACAATGCTTTCCTTCCTAAAAATGATACCATACACTACAATTTCTTTGTTTTGTGATATAATTCTACATATGTTGTTGAAATTAAGCCCGAAAAAAAGACCTTCTACACTGAACAACAAGAGATCTGTAGGCTCATTCACAACATATTTGTTGAATGTGTAGGTAAACTTTTCTAACAGGTTGTACCATTTCCATGGGAACCAACTGGCCACCTCTCCTGGTCGACTTTTTCTTATTTGCATATAAGTATGAGTTCCGTCAGACACTTGTAAAAAACAAGAATATCAAATAAGCTATATTATTTCACAAGCAGGTATATTGATTATGATCTTTCCATTAATACTCCAAATTTTTCTGATTGGGTCCCATTAATATATCATCCTGCATTAGAGATGAAAGAAACTAGAGGTACAACGTCCTCCGCATCATTTCTACACATTAATCTCGAATGTAACAGCAATGGTCATCTCAGTACCAGAATCTATGACAAATGAGACGATTTCAATTTTGAAATTATAAATTTTCCTCACTTTAGCAGCCATATTCCAACTTCACCCGCGTATGGAGTATACATTTCTCAACTCATACGATAGTCAAGAGCTTGCAGCTGCTACTCAGACTTTGGAAAACTTCATCGGCGTCTAAGCAAAATATTAATGAGCCAGGGTTTTGTCAAAGAACATGTCGTCCTTTTTTCTCAAAAAGGAAAAGAGATATTGAAACACATAAAAGTCAACATCTTACATATGTTTCTACGTCTTCTTTACTGCAACAGCGCCCCATTTTTGAAACTGGCTATGTACAAAAAGTTCATCAGAAAGTACAAACATCTAATAGATAAATACTCAGTGTCTTCTTCACAAATAGTACAAGATCGTTTTGAGTTATAGATTCGTGATGCTGAAGTAGTGTATCTTTTTATTTTACTTTATTTTCCCCGTTATTTGTCTTCGTGTTATTATGTTTCTTCTTGTCGTATGAGTTTTTACGTGACCCGGTATTTATGCATCCCTACATTGGGATTTTGACTTTTAAACTTTGGGCATTCCTAGTGCAGGTGTGTCCAGAGGAGCGATTGGGACATAACGGATGTTTACAGCGTTGGTTTTAATTTGTTTATCCTTGTATTTACATTAACCTTATTTCTAGTTTATCGAAAAAATGTATGCTATATAAGGTAAAGTCTATCATCCACAAAAAGTGTTGACGTCATTGTCAAATTTACGTCACTGATGAGTATTTTGTAGACGAAACGCGCGTCAGACGGACACACTTTTAATTCTGCCATCTATGATGAGTTTATGATTATCTACTTCACCTTTTTTGTTGGTGTCTTTTTTTAATTAATGAGTATGTCTGTGATGTATGTTTACAAAGTTTTTGAAAATTTGAACCCAATTTTTGTCTCATTAACCTATTATGTCTATTTGGGTTGCTTACCCAATTTGGTCAATACAACGTAACTATAAACAACTGCAATGCAAGTAAGTGGTTAAGCTAGCTAGAAAAACCAAGTGTAACCCACCATTTTCTTCCGAAAATGCCTGTACCAAGTCAGGAATATGACAGTGGTTTATCACTTGTTCCGTGATTGATGGCGTTTGATTTTGTCAGTTTTTATGGACTTCCTCTTTTTGAATTTGACTTAATCTAGTTACAACTATAAAACAACGACGAACTACTGTTGCGCTTATCAAATACAATAATATTTGTTTATCAACTGCAAATTTAAAACAAAAACAAAATGTGTCATTAAATAATGGAAAGACCAAAATATTGGCTACTTAGCGGTAGTAAAAATGAAATCATTTGATATCACAATAAATCACCTTACATGAATAATGTTTTTAAATTGATATGATGAACAACTATAACATCAATGTTAAACTCAACTTATAGACAACATTTTGCATCTTCATACCTATACATCTACCACTTTCTCTTACAAGGAAAAGAGATATTGAAACACATAAAAGTCAACATCTTACATATGTTTCTACGTCTTCTTTACTGCAACAGCGCCCCATTTTTGAAACTGGCTATGTACAAATGAAATCTGAAAAATATCACAAAGTAGAACAGGTAGGAAAAAAATATGGCATATATAAAAATGTAAAAAAATCGTATGGATTGAAAATATGATTACGTCCTACAAAAATTAAAACTAAGCAATATTTGTCTTTCTCTTTTGAAACATAAGAATCATGTTCCTTGATATGTTATCAAAAATAGAAATATAAATACTAGTAATGTGATCAAAATTGTTAACTAAACAGTTGCGCTTGTGCATTACCCTGTTCCTTTTCTGTTGAATGTGAATTTGTACTTCGAATACTACATATCATATTCAACGGACACCTGTGAGCTGAATGTGAAACCTTTCTCATTTGTATTGCCGATGTTATTGGGCTTGTCTTTTCAATTCGAATTCATCATATGAAAAATATGGCGATTTGAATGATCAAACCTGATATATTTTCTACACATTGTGTTCATTTGTGACCCTCTTCTGGCAAAACTAACATATTTGTAATGTTAAATGTTTGTCATCAAACAGATACTAGATAACAAATAATAACTCTTTAACTAACAATATCACGTATCTTTTCTGCATATGGGACTGGCGTTCACAGATTTCCGAACACTGTAGTAATTTCTAGATACTGAAACTCTAGTTTGTTTTTTTTAATATGAAAATAGATATATTTACCTGGTGGAATAATTTTTCATAAAATCAAATAAATGCATATTTAGGACATGAACAAATTAGAATTGAAACAGCTGTTATTATTGTTGTCTCGTGTAAGCCTAATCGATCAGAGTGTTGGGTGTCATGTTATCGGCTGGGTCACCGCAAAAGCTGATTGACTCAGTATTATAGTGATGTACAACATGCATGATATGCCTGCAAAGGGACTATTGATTATAGCTTGACTCTAAGTTTTTGTCTAGTACACAGCCGGACAGTTTGTCTTTATTGTTGTATCAATTATATTAATGAGTACATGAAGTTAAAATATCCATTCGCCTATTCATAATTCAAAACACGGTTTGCAATCATATTTTGTACAATGCGAGCGCCAGCTCACATGCCAATTTCATTCTGCACTATTTAGACGTTCCTTATTGCAAACTACTTTGAAGTACAGTCACCAATATTAGAGTAAGGAAAGGTTAATGTTTTCTCAGTAACTGTGGACATTTTTTTAAAACGGTATTGTTATACTTGAATTTCATTTACATTTGTATTAATTGTCTTTTTCACGAGTACTAAATATACAATGTTTTTCTTAAAACATGTTTAAAACATTCTTTGGCAGTACCTTTTGTAACAGAGATGCGAAAGATACCAAAGGGACACTCAAATCATCAGTTGAAATCAACTTGCAATGGCAAGTCATCAGATCAACTAAAAACGTACAAAAGTCAATATTAATAATGGCCATTCACCTGTGTCACAATGAATGTACGAATTTTTTTTATTGTAGATAACATAACTTAGGAAAGCAAATCTTTTGCGACAAAACTAGTAAAAAAAGAAACCTACATTTAAAATCTTTAATGCATTAATTTTAAATAGTATATAAATAAATCTTGATAATGTTGCCAAATGTATATTCTAAAATAGAATATATATTACACATTTTCATATTATCTGCCTCGGAACTAATTTCCGAATAACAATCTTGCTCTAGTAACAACATATCTGTTCGTGTAAAACCTTAGCCCTTATCTACAAAATGATGACAAGGTTTTGTAATGAGACTATTTTGACAGTACGTGCAATATGCGCTAAATTTGAGAGGTTTTAGGTCCTGACGCAAGCTCGTTAAAAAAACAATAATACAAATAATGATGTGTAGCATATCACTTTCTTTCAAACACCCAAAATGTTTTGTAATACTGTTTGAATTTCGAATTTGAGGGACAAACTAACGACCTTATCATACCTTCTCTTTTTCGAAAATCAGAATTAATGACTTTGAAAACGTTATAAATAATTTACAGACCAGTGGCAGGTGAATGCTAAAAATAATGGACATAAGAACTGTTAATAAAAATAAGATGTGGGGAATATTAAATGAAACTGCAACAAAACGACACAAACACCAAAAATACATTAACCGGTATAAATGCAGTCTCCAACAGTTGACAGCTGCCTGTTTAATCATTGTCGTTTGCAGTCTAAACAATTTGAAAAAAAAATAACCTTATTTTGCACCATTATTTCAAGAATACCACGATATCAAACGCAATCAGTAACAAAGGAAACATTTGGGATATATCACTAAAGAGGATAAATTAAAGAACCACATTTAACTAACTAATACAGAAGGTTTACAAATACTCCGAGTTCATTTAAGAAAATATTGTATTTTAATTATTTCAACATAAATTGTGTACCTTAGTTTGACAGCTATAAAGAACTTGTCATGCAAATCAATATATTTTTGTTATACAATGATTAAATACTTTGGTTTCATATCTTTTGAAAAAAATAAAGAAGCATTTTATTTTTCCTACTCAACACCATTTTATAAATATGTTGACATATTCAGTGTTATATTAGATTTCAAGATCAATACAAGTTTAAAATACCCCTTCGGTGTTTCGAGAAGTCGTTGATAAAGGTTTAAGTTTCAAACACACTTGTTCGATTTTGAAATGATATACATGACATTCTGATTTGAAATGTTCTTTATATGGAAATTAACAGATCCTACTATTTTACCAGATAGTTAAGATAAATGAGTAAGAATGAAACGTTTTACATAGCTCTATATTATGAACTAGCATTACATCTGTTGATGGGTGCCTGACATTACTTTTTATTTTTGAATTAGTCCCTACTTAATCATCAAGTCACCCACGCAGCAATATTTTATAGCACAGTCCTACCACCAAAGAAAGGCAGCGAATTTGCTGCGTTGAAATAAATGTTGCTGACTAACCTTCACTGGCAACAATAAGGAACGATAAGTTGTACAAGGGTATCTTAATTGCTACTCAAGTCAGATGGACTGTAGCTGTGTACATATGTATTATTTCAATTATTGTTGTATCATCTTCTCTTGTCTTTTAGAATGCACTTTAGAATCAAGATACAAAGAAAAAGAGACATTTCCGTCGTATTTGCATTGTTCTTTAAAAACTTGTCTGAACATTATTGTCTTCATAATTATTGATTAATATATTTAAAGTAACTTTTAGGCGTATTTTGTATCGTGTTTTATTGGTAGTGTTTTACATTCATCAAGCACTTTATATAGACATGGATTCAAATTGATTCGTTTAAACATTTACAGTACATTAAAATGTATTTGTTTACGTTTGGTCGCTTCTCGTGTTACCAACATTTCCTTATTAACGTGTTACTCTTCTTTTCAACGCTTACCAACCCTTACTTGTTTCAATACAAATGAAACTCTTTCATTCGGTAAAATATTTTGAATATGTTGACACTTTTATTATTTCTCACACATAGTTTTAAACAGTCAAGCTTTCTTTAAATTTATTTCATACAAATATTTAGAGAGGTATATTTCTGGATCAAAATAATTTCTTACCAATTTTCTGTTTTTTTTGTTTTTTTTTAAGGTATATGTACCTGGCGACTCTTGATTATCATAGTTTCTATTAAATATTTCAATGAGGATAATGTTTCATTGCTTATGTGAGGCTGTGAATAAGAGTTTTGCACGTGGCGATTCCAATCTTAATTGACTAGAATTGTCAGTATTCCTGCTGAAGGTATGTGGTTCTCTCTTGACACATCAGCTTCCTCAACCGATAAAAACTTACCGCGACTATATAGTCAATAGTGATGAAAGAATCGTTTTGAAAACAAAAACTCAATCAGTCAATCATTGCTTATGCGACAAAAGATGTAAATGCTGAGGACGATGAATATACAGATGTTACTGTACTCCCTCCAAAAATTAGGAACTTTTAATATCATAATTCATTAGTCTGTAAACGTTGAGCTCACACGATACAGAGATTAAGTGATATGATGTATAAATGTCTAGTTAATAAATAAATGGTAAAAGTATTTCAACTTCAATGTTTAGTACAGTTTAAAAAACAATTATATGACATTTGAACCATGACTCGATGTGAATGATTCAATGACAAACATGACATGACAAACACTGCCAATTCTTTAAGATAAAGTATGACTATAAAAATTACCTTGATTATACCAAATATCACTTAAACCTATATAATACGTCCTGTATATCATTTTTCTAAATTTAGTTTTTTTTTTTTAATTTAATACTACCAGATTCTACAACAGAAGTTCATGATAATTTACCAAAATTACAGATATACATGATTTTGTTTTATGCAATCCGAACCTTTTTTTTAAACACGATGACATTTTACATTCTGAAACGTTCAAATCCACGTAATCGGAGTCATAAAAGTAATATGGCTGATAGATATTCACAAGTTAAATACACCTAAGATACCACACGGTTTGGTCTCTTATTAAATCAATTGCATTCTTTTTAAACATTGTTTTCGTCAAGTGAATCAGGCCTGAACAATGTGATAACATTAACTACATAGTATATGATGTTAATGTCTTAATTATCGATGGCAGTAAAATCTTTGGCAACTTTTAAAAGAATACCAGATCAATTTTCATGTGAATGACGCGTTTTGGAATATATCTGTCAACAATTTCTAAAAGTTTGTATATCATCGAAATACAAAATGTGTAACAAGCAAACAAAATAATAAAAGTGAGAGAGACTAACTAAGATTATTTACAGCACGTTTGAATTTAAAATGTATGTGATTTATATATACTTACATACTAGGTGTACCAGAATGTTTAGCAATCATAGATATGACAGACTTATACACTAATAAAATAAAATCTATATTTTGTAGGAACCATTAACCAGATTGTAAGATCTATACGTTTTTCCCGACAGAAGATAGAAGAGTTATGCTGAAATATTTGCATTCTAATTTCTGAATGACTTAAGTCAATTATTGACGATGCCATGTTGTAGAGATTCCTCAAACAACTTTAAGCATTCAATAAAGCACTAATGAAGCATTGTTTTTATAAATAGAAGCAGTACTGTTGTTGATGTATACAACTCAGTGGTAGAAGTTCGTATCAAACATCAAAACTAAATATAGTAAGAGAAGTTAAATATTTAACTAATGTTTTCTTAATAAAACAATAATAAAGTTTTGTGTTTGTTTGTTTTCCACATTAATGAAACAAAACCTATAAATTGATATATATGTATATCCGTCTTTACTAAATAAGTATATATTCAAAACATCTTACATGTACTGTTGTTAATCTCGGTAGAAATAACTATCCAAATTTGATCATATTCATGACGTTAAATACAACTACAACATAAGATATAAACCCTTCGTTAATAAACCAGAGTTATATCAAAACCTGTTTTTATTGGTCACTAGGAACCACGTGTTATAAAGATTAATTTCGATAGTGTACCTACATATATACATATGAAAGTTTTGAAGTATTATGTTCAAGAAAATTATACAATGTCAATTAGATATGTGCCTAAGTTATTTTTTTTGGCGGTTAAGACATGTTCCCAGAATCAGTAAAATCATTCGCCAATACATTAATAATACATTTGCGAATATTTTTGAATTTATATAATATATACCATAGCAAAGTTGTTACCATTTTTTTTTTTAAGATTTCCATTGATGAACCAAAGACATGACTTGTTATAGCAATATCCACTTAAGTTTATAGATGCGTAATTTATAAATCCGTACTACAATATTGGGACTACTAAGAGCTTACGATATATCCTTCAATGAATAATGAGATGTGAAGTCAGAACATAATTCTTAGGTTCTATGCAGAGGATTTTGTGATTGGCAAGTGTATGCATGCACAATACATTTGCGCAAATCAAAACGAATCTCGAAAATATGTGTATCAATGTACAGAAACCATCACAGAAAGTGTTAAAAACCTAATGCCCCTATATACATACCTAAATAGAATAACATATGATATACATGTCTAGGGACTAGCACAAAAACTGTGGCGATATCAACTAGACTTTTAAACTCAAATATCCCCTTTTTATACTCGAACTGGGTAATGTCAAATGTATCGAAGGACAGCAAAAATAAGGTCATGAAACCTATTAACTATTTGATATTGTACAGTAGACACGTGCAGCAGTAAAACACACGGATTAAAACTGTGACAAAGATTCCTTGTATTTATTGAAAGTACATGTTAGCCCTAATTTATAGTAGTTTTTTAATATGAAACATATTTTGGTCATTTTTCAAATATAACCAATCGTTAGTAAGGCCGTTAATTTTCTAGTTTGAATGCTTTCAAATTTTGCCATGTCGTGCCTGTAATTGCTCACTATACGATAAATCTTCAGCATTTAGTACAATAGTAACATTGAACTCTGGTATAATATCATGCAGCAATTAACCAACTAAAACTGAATTGAAATGCATGTTTTTTTTCGTTTTTTTAAACCTGCTTAAAAAGAAATGAGCAGTCCTAAATTGTGCAGTTGGCACCGATGCTGATTTAATACAGCAACACTTTGAACAGTACCAGACGACATAATTATGTGCTATGTTCAAACTAAATTTGCAAAATTGTGTTTCAGTCTATATACGAATCATTTTATAGTAATTACATCTATCGAATAAAAAGAGATGAAAACACCATATGAAACAAGAGTATATTTTTATTAATTTCTCATTAACAAGACTTTCTTAAAAAAAAAGGAGCGAAATAATTTCTAAACTACTGTGCTTTATAAAGAACATTGACTAAAAAGGTTAGTGTGATGAACGTTAAGTTATGAAAAAAATGTGTACGCTTGATGAGCGTTTCGTCTATAAATGACTCATTAGTGACGCTCAAATCATGACAGTTAAAAGACCCAATTGAGAAAGAAGTTGAATAGGATTGAGGACCAATAATCCTGAAATTTTCCAAATACGCAAAGGTCCTATTTCCATGTGTAGAAAATTCGTAGTAATTAGAACAATGCATAAATATGACCACGTCAATTAAAGTGATACAATTGAGAGATCACTAAAATTGATATATAATGTATCCTCCTTGAATTTTTGTATGTGTAAATAGCTTATTCATTGAAATATCAAACGACTTTATGTATACGCGCATTGTTGATATTTCGGCAGTCCCATCAGTTTTACTTATTTTAGCAGATGCTAATACAATTAAGAGACAGTGGATGATCCAGTTCTTTGTCTTTTATTGAATTTTCAGAAGGAACCTAAAAAAAGACTTATAATGTTTCTCTTTAGTGAGTGTCGTTGGCCAACAAAAAAATGCCAACATGTTATATATCATTCTTTGTTAATATAAAATAAGAAGATATGGTATGATTGTCATTTAACCTTATTGATAACCGTCGATCAGAATGGAAACTTTTAGTCCGATGTCTTATCACTACAAGACAAATAAGCAACTATAGATCACCATTACCTCGGCAAAAATGAACAAAACAAAAAATGTACAGTCAACTATAAAAGATTCCGACATTATAAAATGTGAAAAAATTAAATCGAAAAAAATCAGCGTTCTGAGTAATGTCAAAACAAATATATAAAAGAAAGCAGCCAATGATAAACACTGAAATACATGCTCCTGATTTGGGACAGTCACATATAGATTATGGCGGGGTTAACATGTTTGTGAGCGCTCAGCCCTCCCTTAACTGGGATAGTGATGCAACAGCAAATCATAAAAACAAACTGAACAAAATCACATTGGAATGAAGCACAAAAATAACTAACATAAGACACACAATTCCAGTCTAAGAGTACTAGTTTAAAGCTAAAAAGACTAATTCAAATATTGTTTTCTGAGACTGAGGTGTATTTGTTTATTTGCCCATACAGATTATAGTATTTGTGGCTTGGTCTTCTGTAACAATATAAATGTCATCAAGATAAGAAAAGAGTCTTGCATCTTTTGAGCGTAACGTAAAACGGTCATAGTCCCTTTGATTTTTTAAAATGTGTATCTGAATCAAAGTTTTAAGGCAACTTTTTATTTTTACATTTCAGCCTTTGTCTGATATATACACTTAGTCTCGTGCTATTCTGAATCTTTCACAACAACATTAAAAAATAAGGGCTTGTGGGCAAAAGTAAGGTCATTCAGCTGATCCGATTTAATCATCTATATCATTTCACTATTTTAAGAACAAAAGCAAAAATACAGATGATTTATACTTAGTCTTTAAAAAGATATGTTATCTTTTGTATAAGTATTCGAGTTTGTTAGATCCATTCAGTTGTCCAATGGACCAAATGGAGTTGATTTTTAGAAGGTATATCAGCAATCACCATACGTATTTTATGATTAAAATTGTTTTGAGGTCACTGGTCACTCAATGAACAGACGATGTATTTTTAATAGATTCAATACGAGCCTTATTAACTAAGCAGGTTTTGCCATAAATAGCATTGTTATTTAGTAGGAGCGTCACCATATATCCTAGATAAATCAAGCATGTATATAATGGTATAGCAATAGTTTAAAAGCGGTGCAATTGAACGCGAAAACATATTTTTTTTTTTTCATAGAAAGCAATAAGGACAATATCAATCATGATAAAGTATACAAATGAGAATTGCTTTTGGGTTGATCAATGTTTTTGTTTTGTTTTAAATGCTGTTTCTTGTGTATGACGAAATCGAACAACACAACCTCCGCCAATAACAGGGAAGGGGGCGGGGGAGGTAAATATTCAGATTTCTAAAAGTGTGAGCATGTCCTGCTCTACTAGTGGTACCCGTCATTGTACTTGTGGTACATGTACATTTATATCAAAATCACATATATACATGCAGTCAACATAGTCATCTAACCTTGAACTATCCAATGAAATGACACCAAATACATATTGAACGTGAAGTTGAATGTTACTACCAATGTTTTGTGTTACTTTTCCTGAGAAAGTCTTGTAGGAAATTATCCCCCTTAGAACATGTCGGCAAGCAGAGGTGCACACATATTGCTCAGTGAACTCCGATTGTCGTTTGAAACATATATGTTATCAGTGAAAAATCAGGTATTTTGATGATGTCAGTTGCAGTGAACTTTTGATGTGTTTCATTACATGTATTTTAACAAAGTATTACAACAAGGTATTTATTCAACGTTCTTGTTTGATGACACAATGTTTGAATTACTCTTTCAGTCTTTAAGTTGAGAATAAGGAGAATGTGTTATGAAAGCAGCTAGACAGATTTGTTTACCAACCCAAACAAAAGTATACAAACAGAGAACACACACAACAAGCACACAATTAACACGAAGTCTATATTTTCTGCTACTAGTGTATACTCATTTCCTGAAGAAAATAGAAAAAAACATATATTTTCTTTTCGATTTTTTTTCTACCTTCCTGCCTTACCTACGAATGTCAACAATTGTACCAAATTGAATTCAATTTTATATGAAAATAGGGAGATGTAGTGTGATTGCAAAAAGAGACAACTATCCACCAAAGTTCAAATGAATGAGATGTTAGCAATTATAGGCAAGCAACCGTACAGTTTTCAACAATGCGAAAAACCTATACCGTATAGTCGGTTATAAAAGACCCAGACATGAAAATTATGAAATTATTTTATGTTTTGCATAAGTATTCAAGTTTGTTAGATCCATTCAGTTGTCTAAGGGACCAAATGGAGTTGAATTTTATAAAAGGCTCAGACATGATAAGTGTGAAATGATTCAATTCAGAAAACCAACGGCCTAATTTGTGACAAAACAATTTACGAAAAACAAATATGACGGACATGAACCAATGCCAACCACTTAACTACAGACTCCTGACTTGGAACAGGCACATACAGAATGTGGCGGGGCTAAGCATGCCTGAGGGTGACAACCTTCTCTCTGACTTGGGACAGTAATGTAACAACACAACATTAGAACAAACTATAAAAATCTAAAAAAGAACTAACCTCATCAGATTAACACAAAGCCGAAAAGCTTCCAACAAAAACACAAAAGGACGTGACAGGGTATTTATACAACTCACACAACGTACAGATATGTGAGTACTCGTAGTTACTGACAGCTAGTTCAACTTCATCTTGTTTTCGACTTTCCTCTTCCCAATTTTCGAATAGTGTTTAAAACGTGTACTCATGTTCTTTCGTATTTATAAAAAAAAAATTCCAACTTAATCAAACCTGGAGCCTTTTCCAAGTTATCAATTTGTCAAAATTCAGGGATTATTTCAATATAACTTGGAAAAAAACGGCTTTACATTGACCGAAACACATTTTGAAAACAAGACTCAAAACGATAGAACGTTATAACTAAGCAGCATCATAATAAGTTAATATAATGTTATGCTAAAGTATACATGGTAAATTTTGTATAGCAAATATCGTCATG